ACAATCTACTTGTAATATTGAGTTTTAAGTAATATGCATTAATAAACAGTACTTTACGCATAAAAAATAGTTTTTAAGAGTTTTTGTCAAATGTTTTATAATATAGTATAGATTTTTTATAATTTAATTTAAGTTTAATAATAAAATAATTTATTTTTGGTTTAATAATATAACATATTATAAAGATAATTATTAAGTATTCTGTTAGAACTCAATGATTATCTTAATTATATTTTAGATTTTTTATATTTAAAATGAGATGTTTATCCCGTATTTGATTGTGTTTATCTGCAGTTAGTTACACGAATTCAGATATGGAGCTTTAATAAGTTGTACCTACGCACAATTTACTTGTAATCTTGAGTTTTAAGTAATATGCATTAATAAACAATACTTTACGCATAAAAAGTGGTTTTTAAGAGGTTTTGTCATATGATTTATAATATAGAATATATATTTTTTATATATAATTTAATTTTAGTTTTATAATAAAACAATTTATTTTTGGTTTAATATTATAAATTTTATAAAGATAATAATTAAGTATTCAGTTAGAATTTAATGATTATACTAATTATATTTTAGATTTTTTATAATTAAAATGAGATGTTTATCCTGTATTTGATTGTGTTTATCTGCAGTTAGTTACACGAATTCAGATATGAGATGAAATCGGATAGAGATGAAATCGTTTAGGGATGAACGGGTTTAAGAGTTTTTAAGAGTTTTAGCCAAATGTTTTATAAGATAGTATAGATTATAGAGCATTTGATAAAACTTTAAAAACTATTTTTTATGTACAATGTACTATTTATTGATGCATATTACTTAAAATTTAATATTTCAAGTAAATTGTTCATAAGTATAATTTATTAAAACTTTATTTTTGAATCTGTGTAACTAACTATAAATAAACATAATTTGTAATTTTGTAGTTATTATCATCGTTTTGTTCCTATAAAAGGTTTTTCAACATAAAAATAAATAGACGGATAAACGTTTCTTCTAATTATAAAGGTAGGTGAATACTATTTTTCTTATTATTTTCATCATCAAAAGTTTGTTGGGATGATAAATGTATTGAATATTTTTTGAACATAATTCATACTGAATTTTCTTTTATTAACTTGAATATCTAACCCGTTATACGAGTCGACTAATCCCAAGACGATTACTTGCTTTGCAAATAACCCGGACTCACCGCATTTGAAATTCCATGGCACAAGGAGATTTTTATTCCTCCTTGGATTTGAATCTAGGATCTCCAGGTATTTTTGACCTTTGGAGTCAAGCTCAAACCAATCAGGCATCACCTTTGTGTTTATTAATACTGAAATTTCAAAATTATCGGAGATGGATTTAAAAAAATTCAAAATGTTTTTCTCTATTTTGAATAAATTATCAGAAAAACAGTTGAAGATATTTTTAGAGCATCTTTAATAGATTATGTAAAATTTCTTTTAAAAAATATTTGTTGTTTTCCCGATTTTTTCTCACGTTTTCGATAAAACTCTCTCGTAAAAGTTTTTTAACAATACTTTAGCGGAAAAGAAGAGGCAAAAATTGGAACAAAAATATCATTTGATTCGTCGATCCTCAAAATAAACAAAGTTCGATCGGTGAATGACGAATGGAAATGAAATGTTAGAAATCAGAATCTTAAAAAAGTATTAAAATATAGAATATTATAGTATTAAAAAACAAATTGTTTATTTTAAAGATTACAATATTATAGTATTAAAATATATTTAGTGAAATATTATTTTCTTTTCTTAGACTTTTTTATTTAAAAAACTTTTATTTGTGAGAATAATAAAATATCATTCTCAATCATAAACATAAACATAAACAGGATTCATTTTAAGTTTGGAGAATTTTCTTATGTAATTTCTCTATTTTAAAAAAGATTTTATAGAATCTGTTTAAGAAAAAAAAATTAAAATTTTTATTTTTAATATTTTTGAAATTTGTTGAAATACCATTAATGAGTTAAGAGTATTTTAATATACCATAAATAAATAAACAATAAAACATATATAAGTGGAGGTCTTATTAAATGCAAAGAATACAGATTATATAAACCAATCTTAACCGTCTATGTAGTCTAATAAATATTTGATTTGGTAATATATCGATGATTTCTTAAAATAAAAAATTCATTATAATTAATAAATTCTAATCATATTTCATAAATATTGAAAATGTTCTATTATTTACATCCCTTCAAGGGTGTAAATTGGTTCGATAATTATAGTTTGACTAATTTATGTAAAAATTAATGAGTTTCGTTAAAAGCGAGATAAACCTTGAAAAGGTCGGGAAAGAAATCAAATTAATGTTGAAATTCTCTAGGAGAATTTAAAGTCAAATCTTTACTAGATTTTTTATTTTAGAAATTTGAACATTATATCTATTATTTAGCAGCCCAATATATTTAACAAAGACTTTATATCAAAAAACTAATAAATAAATTTCATTGGTGGAGTTTTCTCTAAATTTTTTTATTTTTAAAAAATAAGATAAATAATCTTTTATAGAAATGTAAAGAACCAAAATGGCATCTATATAAATAAACTATTTCCTTCTAATCCACTATACCACAATAATCAAATATTCTTTTATCTCTATGTCGTTTCTATTTTCTTCAATATTTGAAATGGCAAGTTTGAAAGAAAACTTGCAATGCATTGATGATTCAAGTGATGAAAATATAGAATTGAAGTTTTCAACCGACATAGTATGATCTAAATATTCATTACCTTATATGTTCTATTTCTAAATACTCAAGTGTTGAAAATAAAGAATTACAATTTTCAACCAACATGGTATTGTTGTTTACCCAGATGATTATAAAAAAACAATGAAATAGCATTAACACAATGCAAATAGCAAATCAGTCGGCTTCTATTGATTCAAAATATGGAATACAAAATATTGGTTTTGTCTGACGCGAAGCTCTCAATAACTAGATGATAATATATATATATATATATATAGAGAGAGAGAGAGAGAGAAAGAGAGAGAGAGAGGAGCGATCAAATGAAAACCACTTCAATTTGTAAAAACCGTAAAAACTACTCTCATCCGTCGATTTCATTGTTTAATCTTATGAAATTTTTTCATGAAATTGTTTAATCTTATGAAATTGTTTCATATAATACTTTTTTTTTCATATAATACTTTTTTTTGATGAAGTTGTTTCATATATGGTTATGAAATTGTTTCATATACTACTTAATGAAATTTTAATGAAATTGTTTCATGTATTTCTCTAAAATTAAAATAATAAAGATGATAATATCCATGATTAACATTCTCCATAATAAAAATGATTAATCAATCTCTCATAATTACAAAAAAAAAAAAAAAAAACAAAATGAAAAATTATGATTACAGTTTTTACAAATTGAGTGGTTTTCATTGATCGCTCCCTTAAAATTTCATTAAATATTATATGAAACAATTTCATAACCATATATGAAACAAATTCATCAAAAAAAGTATTATATGAAATAATTTCACAAAATTAAACAATTTCATGAAAAAAATTCATAAGATTAAACAA